GTGCTGGTGTAGGCGTCTGGTGTAGGCGCTGGCGTCGGTGGCGGCGTAGGCGCAGTCGTTGGTGCTAGCGCCTGTGCGAACCGCTTAGCTGGACAGATAACCGGTTCGCTGCGGTCTGGTTGCGGTGCTGGAGTCGGCTCTCGCGTTGGTGCCTGCGCAGGCGACCGCGCTCGTGCTGGCGTCAGTGCTGGCGTCGACCCTGGTGTAGTCGCTGGCGTTGGTGCTGGCGCAACCTCAGGCGTTGATGCTGGCGTCGGTGCTGGCGTCGGTGATGCCGTATGCGCTGGCGTCTGTGCTGGCGTCGGTGCTGGCGACGGTGCTGGTGTAGGCGTCGGCGTTGGTGCTGGCGTCGGTGATGACATCGGTGCTGGTGTAGACGCTGGCGTTGGTGCCAGCGCAGGCGCAGGCGTTCCCGCTGGCGTCGGTGCTGGCGTCGGTGCTGATGGAGGCGTCGGCGTTGGTGCTGGCGTCAGGGATGCCAGCAGTGCTGGTTTTAGGCGCTGGCGTTTGGTGCCGGTGCAGGCGCGGAAGCTCGTGCTGGCGGCGGTGCTGGCGTCGGCGTAGGCGTTGGTGCTGCCACCATCTCAGGCGTTCATGCTGGCGTCGGTGCTGGCATCGGTGCAGGCATCCGTGTTGATGTCCTGATTGCATCGGAACTGGCAGGCGCCGGCGTTGGAGTCGGCGTAGGCGCAGACGCTGGCCCCGGCGGGGGCCGGAGGTGTTGGCGCTCAGGCGGTGATGCTGGCATCGGTGCTGGCGTCGGTGATGCCGCAGGCGCCGGCGTCTGTGCTGGCGTCGGTGCTGGCGACGGTGCTGGTGTAGGCGTCGGCGTTGGTGCTGGCGTCGGGACATCGGTGCTGGTGTAGACGCTGGCGTTGGTGCCAGCGCAGGCGCAGGCGTTCCCGCTGGCCTCGGTGCGGGCGTCGGTGGTGATGGAGGCGTCGGCGTTGGTGCTGGCGTACACACACACACATACATACACATATACACATACAAACACAGACAAGCACACACACACACACTGTTGTAGCACATTCGTATTTTTCGCAGCTTCTGATAAGACAACCCAAGGGAGGCCCAAGATCGTCACAAGACGGCCGATGAGGCCACCAAGAGGGCCCGAAGACGGCCCAAAAGGGCTCCGAGACGGCCTCAGGGGCCCCCAAGACGGCCCACGAGAGCCCCAAGAGAGCCCAAGAGGAATACGAACTGACATGTCGAGCCTTTCCCCGCAAGATGGCCCCAAGAGCCCCCCAGAGGCCCCCGAGGCAGCCCCAAGAGGCCCCAAGAGGCCCCAAGAGGCCTCCAAAAGGCCCCCGAGATGCCCCAACGAGCCTCCCAGGTGCACCCAAGACCCCTCCCAGAGGCCCCTGAGAGGCATCCCAAGAGACCCTCCGATTCATCCACGAGGCTCCTGACCTACAGCCCAGGCACGGTGGCGGGTTGGACCGAAGGCCACTACAGAACTTCCACAACCGTCGCAGGCTCCGACTCCTTCTAGGGGTCGGCGGAATGGCATAAGCCACGTTCTGGAAACATGCACGAATCCTTGCTCAATAATTATCTTTGCATTCCCCCCCCCACACTTCCCATATTTTCCTATATGCTCCTGGGAATGGACAGTCAACTGTTGTCTCTCCCAACATTCCCCATCGGCGGGGTCGGCGGCGTGCCCAGAGGGGAAATGAGAGGGTTCAGACGGCCGGAGGGTTTCTGCGCAGCCCCGCCGCCTTCTGAGAAGGCCTTCTCCTTCTCAGTTCCTCCCCGGGCGCTCCCGACGGGAGGGCTCAAGCTCAGACATGATCGCGTCGTGCAAGAATCACGACGGGAAGCTTTTGGCCGTGTTCGGCTTCTGGGGGCCCTCGCCCGGCTCAGGGGCAGACTGAAACGGGTCCCGGGGAATGGGTGGGGACTTCCAGGGACCCCGTGGCGAGAAGGCTGGACAACGCACGTCTGGGGGAGGACGCAGGAGGACTTCGGGGCCCCAAAACCGTTTAGTGACGGACTGCGTAGTGACCTGCGGTCCGTCACGAGGAGGACGCGGGAGGAGGAGGAGGATGACCCAATGATTACCCCAAGCCGACTCTGATGGGACATGCTACTTCAGGGGACATCACTCGAGTGGCCTCACTTCAGGAACACGCTGAAGGACCCACGAGCCCGTTGTAGTGGAGGATTTGCCTCTCGCGGAGGAGGAGGAGGAGGAGGAGGAGAACGGAGGAGGAGGAGGAGGAGGAGGGAGGAAGAAGCCCGCTCCCGGGGAAGGTGTCGAGATCCCGTGGGCAACGTATTGACCAATTCTTGACGCTTCGTGTATTTACCAGCCCCTGCAGAAACGATGCCCAGGCGAGGACAGTGTAGAAGCATGCAGTGGAACAATTTCTGGATCAGCATGATCAGACCCAGGACGAGGACGAGGACGATGAGACCGAGGAGAAGGAGGACGAAGAGGAGGGCGAGGAGGACGCAGAAGGGGGGCCAAAGTCGGTTCTCAGAGGCTCCGACGCGTCTTGGCGGTCTCTTGGGCTCTGGCCGTTCTGGGGGCTCTGCCGAACCCTCGGGGGCCTCTGGGGGCATGGCATATGAGGACTGCAAAGGACTCCGGGATGCCAGCTGCACAGGAAGGAGGTCGGTTCCATGGCAAGGCGGATCTCTCGCGGGACACTCACTCCTCAGCTTTATGATCGTACTCCTTGGCAGTTCTTGCAGCTGCGAAGGGGGAGGAGGAGGAGGAGGAAGAGGAGGAGGAGGATCCATACTAGATCATCCATCGTAGTTCTTCGATCCTGATTATCTCCTTTTCCTCCTTTTCCTCTCTCCTCCTCCCTCCATTCCCATCCCTCGTTCCGCCGCCAGAAGAAATCGTGGACGAAAACAAGCCCCTCAACGAAGGGGACCGAAAGGTTCAGCGGGCACGCATCCAGAGTTCCACCACACCAGGAGACCCCAAGGTTGCGCGCCCCTGGTTGCGCCACAGGCTGCGACACATGTGGTGCGGCGCGAACCCCGCCGAGCGAAAAAAAAAACCTCGATGTTCCAAGCGAGTCTGACTTCCACGCGTTGCGCCACAGAGTGCAGCACACACCGCGCAACGCAGACCGAGGTTGCACCAGACACCAATGTACCATCGCGGCCCAATTGCGCCGTAGGCTGCGCCGTGGGTTGAACTGTAGGTTGCCACTCCCCCCCCCGCAATTCACCAAATCGTCCGCTGGCCTCACGGGTGCACCATGAGTGTGCTGGGCCCCTCTGTAATCCACTACAGCGTCCGTTGTCCCATAACGTAAGCCCGCCATGGGTTTCGCCAGACCCCCCCAATCCACCAACTCGCCCGTTGGCCTGACAAGTGCGCTTCTGACACGATTCCCCTATCAATGCTTGCACTTAGGGATTATTGCCTTACTTGCTTTCTGAGGTAACTGCTGAAGAGGGGACCGAACGTCCCGGCTTTCGTGTATGCCTACCACGAAATGTTCTTAGAACCCCAAAACGTTCCAACAACACAAACGCATTGTGCTTGGAACACAAGCCCGATATGTTAACACAGGACAGCCTCAACCACACATGCTCTAAGAACATGCCGCGCCGGCCACGAAGGTCTTTAGAACCTTTCGGCAGGCCTATAGGCGAGCTAGGACGCTTCGCCACTGTTTGAAACTGAGCACAACCGTCGCCGCCACCGTTGCCACTACTTCACTGGGCCTCGGTGTCGGTGCCGGCCAGCGCGTGGCCGCCATTCGCCGAAGGTCGCCGCAGTGCACTGCAATCGCACTGCGCTGCGCTGGCCATTGCTCTGCATTGGTTTGCACTGCGCTGCGTCCCGCCACCACCCGTCGCCGCCGCACATTGCAATCGCATTGCGATGTTTTGCTTTGCGTTTAGATTTCATTGTGCACTGTTTCGAACTGCGCGGCAACTGCTCTAGATTGGCTTGCATTGGTTTGTACTGTGTTGCATTGGTCGTGAATTGTTTTGCATGTCGTTGCATTGTGTTGCATTGCATCGTTTTATGTTGCTTTGCTTTGCGTTGCAATCGCTTTGCGTTGCTTTGCATTGCGTTGCGTTGCTTCGCATAGCTTTCCAGCGCATTGATTCGGATTGACTTGCATTACTGCGCACTGCTCCACATTGCATTACATTGCATTGATGTGCACTGGTTCGCACTGCATTACATTGATGTGCGTTGCACTGTAGTGCATTGCAGTGCACTGCCTTGTCCCATCTAGACTGCACCACATGGACTCCACCACCCAGATTGCACCGCACAGATTGCAAGAGATCATTGCTTGGGCCCACGCTGACAGACAGACACAGACACTCCCGCGCGTTGGCACCAACTAGGGTGCAGCGGGTGTGGCGCCGGAGCGCCGTTCAGCGTGGCGATCTTCACCACATAAACCTTGGAAGAGGAGGAGGAGGAGGAGGTGGAGGACGACGACGACGAGGAGCTGACATAAAGAGCCAGATCGATGGCGAGGGAGACGGATGCATCACGAGGTTCGGGCGGCTTGGGGGGTGGGCCATTTGGGGCCCCTTTTCTGGAGCCAGCAGCTGCCCAAGAGGGGGCCGAGAGGTTCCTTTGGGGCCCTTTTCTTCACCCCCCATCTGGGCCAACCACCCATTACAGGGCAGTTGTTTCATACATAGGATGTTTATATATATGTGGTTTTTCATACATGATTAATATATGAATAGATTCATGCATGAACTCGTCGTTGTTTTTAACACTAAATCCCTGCATTTTTAATACATGATCCGCACGCGGAGCATTATTAAAAATGGCACTGTACCGCCCCCCCGAAAAGTTGGGGAGAGAAGGCCCTCCGCCATATCGGCGGCGCACGGCGCGACCCTTCCGGCAGTGGCGTCGAGGACGCTGGACTCTGAGGTGGGACGGGGTGCGCACTGCTGCCTCCCCCCCCCACACGTCGAGGTGGTCAAGCCAAGGGGGCAGGATGAGGAGGGGACGGAGGAGGACGAGGGGGAGGGATGAGGCGCACAGGAGGGGGAGCGATGAGGAGCGCGAGGGGGGAGGACGACAACGAGGGCGATGAAGAAAAGCAGGAAGAGAAGGAGAAGGATGAGCAGCATGAGCAGAATGAACAAAGAGGAATGAAGGGATGGATGGAAGAAGAGACCGGTTGAGAGAAAGCGTGGGGCAGGGACCAAGGGACGGGAGCGATAGCAAAGGAAAGGGAGGGGACGAAGGCGGGCGAGAGTGAAGGATTAGAGGGGAGGAGGGAGGGCAGGCGACATGAACACCGTGTCTGGGCTTCAAGAGACAACTAACAATAGCACCGTATCACTTATACAGACGCAAACTGGAAGCTGGCATCCCAAATGGTACAACGCCATGCCATCTAGTACACACAACGCGCTCCAGCGGAGGGATCTGCTCAACCCCTAGCTGCGACGGCCGCATGCCGTGGGCCCAAGAAGAAAGTATCCCAAGCGCCGTCAATACACCACCCTGGGTGGGACCGAATGGGTGGAGGAGGGAGTGCAAACCCCAAGAGCTCGCATCTGACATTTAGGTCTCCTCTGCCTCAGCACATGTCAGCAACTCCTGTAACAAGTAGGGCGTCGTGAGACGTGAACATGAAGAGCTCCCGACCACATGACCCAACTACGCATCAATAACGAAGCCGTCGTTGCATCACATATGCTGTAGCACGCACGCAAACACGAATTCTATCGCGAATCGGTTTTACACCACCCGCATGAATTCAGTGGGCCTTGCTTGCTTGCTTGCATGTTGTAGTAGTAGTGGTTGTAGCGAAACACGACGAAAGAAGCCACCGCCGAAGATGACGAGGCCGACGACGGGAGACGCCAATCACAAAAAAACGCCTACGTACTCCTTCTCCTATCTTCTCCTCCGACCGCAATCTCCTCCAGGATTTTTGTCCGTCATGATGCCCTCCGTCATGCGGCCGTCCTTGAAGAGCACCTCCTCCTCCTCCTCCTCCTCCTCCTCCTCCATGGTATCCTCCATGAGCGTTCGTAAGGTCTGTTTAATGTTTAATGGGGCACAGGGGGGGCGAGTGATGCTACACATGATTGATGCAGTTTCCATGTGTCATCGTCGTGCTAGCGAGGGGGGTGCGCGCGATCCGACGCGCGCGCGGGAACGAGCACTCGAATTTCTCGAAAGAACATCTCGCACCTTTGCCGATGAACAACCGGGGGTCGATACCCTAACGACCTTCGTGGCCAACAACTCCACCGAACTGTGCTTCTTCACGAGGACCCCTCCGTCAAGGTGCCGCTACAGGTGAAAGACGCGCAGGCCTAAATATGCCATGCAGCAGGAGAAAGCCATTGGGTATACTGGCACGACCACAAATGTCATCTGCACGACGTCGATGATGTCCTTGTTGACCGGGAACTGTACAACGGCGTAGTCCTCGCACCGATCGGCCAACTCGTCCATCTGCTTCTTCACCTTTCCAACAGAGCAAATCGCAAATGTACATATACAGAACTGCTGGGGGCTTGCATGGATCCCGGGTCGGCGCTAGGCGTCAACACACCCCAACCCCGCACCCCTTTCCAGGCGCGCTCCGCGCGCCAGGGACGGCGCCCGAGGCGCGGCCAGGGGTGCAGAAGGGGGGGGGGGGCTGGCGCCGACCGAGGAACTCCGCGAGGACCTCCGAAAGTGCATGTCCGTGCAGCTCTGCACCGTTTTCTTTCTTGGCGCTTCGACACTGGAGGGAAGGGGGGGGTGAGGGGGCGGGGGGTCTGGCTCCGAACCTCTGCTTGGTGCGGCTGTCTGCAGCAGCGCGTCCATTGTGGGGGAGACTCCACCCGCCCGAAACCGGCGCCCCGAGACAGCCAAGACCTGCTCCATGGAAGGGGGGGGGGGAGCGGGGGGGGGAGTGCGAGGGCCCGCGCCCATCGGCACCACAGCGCACACAACAACGATCACGACCCCACCGACGCCGTGACCGCCTCGAGAGCCTCCCGGGCCACCTCCCCGGGGGCCCACCCCGTCGCCGCGAGAGCGCGCGCAAGGCGCTGGCCCCCCGCAGGGGGGGCCCGGAGAAGCGGGGCCTCCGCGGGCCGAGCGCGGACGAGGAGAAGCGGCCGCCGCGGCTTCTGCAGCACACCGGGGGCCGTTGGCCCAGGCTCGGCGACTCCGAGGATAAGAGGAAAAAGAGCTGCCGACCAGCGATAACTAGGGGAGCTGTGGTCCCTACCCCCCCTGGGGGAACCCATCGCATCGACGATCTCTCGAGAGGGGTGTCGAAGTCGATGGGTCCCCCAGGGGGGTAAGGACCACAGCTCCCCCAGTTATGGCTGGCCTGAACTGTGCACATACACCGATCCTGGCCAGGCCCATCCTGAGCCCAGGATCGGTGCACACGCCCTCTCCTGCCCTGGCCAGGGAGGAATGTGCCCCGATGCCTGGGTCGAGGATGGGCCCCGTCAGGATCGGTGCATGTGGTGCATAGCTCTCTTCGCCCGAGAAGAATATGGCTTGCAACAGGTGTGGTCTGCAACCGGCGCCCCTCGGGGGGCCCCCTGGGGGGGCGGGCGGGGACCTCGACGGAGCTCTCCGCCGCGCTCTGGGGAGGCCTGGCGAGGACGGCGTCGTGCCCCACGGGCCCCGGCGGTGCCCGTCGCAGACCACAGCCTTGCGTGACCGTACGTCTCTGTAGCCGCCGGGAACAACATACCCGCTGACCTGTCCGGGGTTGTGGTCTGACGAGCCCTTCGAAGCTGATCCATCCGCGACCACGGGGGCGCCCCACGGGGCCCCAGCAGGCCAACGCGCCAGAGAGACAGAGAGAAGACTCGGCCCTCGATGTGTGTTGCCTCTCCCGCCTCCAGGATCATGGTGCCGATCGGGGATCTGATCGGGAGTTCGATCGAGGATGTGATCAGGAGTTCGATCGAGGATATGATGTGTTTGCTTCCCCCGCCTCCAGGATCATGTTGTCGATGGAGGATATGTAGGCGATTGCGCAGGAGTTCATGATCACGTCCCCCACGCTGGCCGAGGTGCAGAGGAACAGGGCACCGATGATGAGCTGAGCCTGCAGGGGCGGGACCGCAGTGCCCTAGGTTTAGGTCGGGCATGTCGGCATGTCCTCCTACAGGCGGGTCCTGGACGTAAAAATCGAACTAGTCCAAACAAAAGAGCTCAAACATCAGCAACAATTGTCCCCCAAAAAGTCATCCCCAGACTATGTTTGGAATGTGTTGAAGGATTCCTCCTGCAGAGAGACGTGCCCGACTGAACCCCAGGTCTCCTCGAACCTACTGTCAAACTGTAGAGTAAGAACACACAATAAGGATGCCTTGGAAGGTCCTGCCGACGCCCTGCGAGCGGGGCGCGGCCAGCGAGAGCGGCCAAGGCTGCGCCGAAGGCGCAGGATGCAAGGATGGCCTTGGACAATGGCTCGTCCTTGCTGTGCGGATTGACTGTGCTCCACCCCGTACATCCGCCAGATTGAGTATTTGGGTCCAGCGGAACATGGCGAGTCAAGACAACGGCCACTCAAGATCGGTCTCTGCAGGGGAGCCCAGGATCGAATCGACAAATCGAGTCGGCGATCGGAATAAGTCGGATCGGCGGAAATCGGCAGCCAAGTCGGGAAAAGTCGAACCGGCGGAAATCGGTAGGCTAACATGCGTCCAATCGAATAAGAAATCGGATCGAATCGGAATCGGAACCAGAAATCGGAACGGAACGGAATCGAATGAGAAATCGGACCGAATCGGAATCGTCGGAACATCGGAGCCCGGATCGGAAGAAGAAATCGGATCGGATCGGAATCGGGATCCATCGAAGTCGGAGCGAAGCGAATCGGAGGAGCCGAGGCGAGCCCTTCCCCCTCCCCCTCCTCCCCCTCCTCCCCTTCCTCCTCCTGCTCCTCCTCCTCCTCCTCCTCCTCCTCCTCCTCCTCCTGCCGGGGTCCAGGCGCACCAATTGGCTGAGCTGCGTCCAGCCGGGGCGGCGCGGGGCGGGCCTCTCCGAGCTGGGGGGGGGAGGACGAGGAGGGGGAGGTGACCACCTCATCTATGCCTCGACTCCTCCTTCCTCGTCAGGGCCTCCTCCTCCTCCTCCTCCTCCTCCTCCTCCTCGTAGTCGCCTCGCCTCCTCTCCTACTCCTCCTCCTTCTCCCCTTTGCTCCTCCTCCCCGTCCTCCTCCTCCTCCTCCTGCTCCTCCTGCTCCTAATCTGCTCCTCCTCCTCCTCCTCCTCCTCTCCTCCTCCTCCTCCCTCCCCTTGCTCCTCCTCCCCGTCCTCCTCCTACTGCTCCCTCCCCTCCTGCTCCTCCTCCTCCTCCTCCTCCGCCTCCTCCTTCTCCTCCTCCTCCTCCTCCTCCTCTCCCTCCTCCGCCCGTCCCCTTGATGCCTCGTCTCCGTGCTCCTACTTATGCTACTGCTGCTGCTGCCACTGCTCCCCCCTCGTTACTCTTCCCTGTGTTCCTCCTACCTCTCCGCCCGCGCGTGGGCTAGAGGATTCCAATTCGCTCTCAGCACGGCTGCGGAGCAGCATCACTAGCATCTCAGCTTCGGCGCGAGGCCACGCTCAATTCTGTCGCGGCGACCGCCCGCCGAAGCTTGGAAATGCGATCTAGCGCGAGCGGGAACCCCAGGGCCCGAACCTGGCCCAGCACATAGAATTCGCAGGCGCCACATGGAACATCATACAGCCACCATGCGAAAGTCAGGATATGGAGCGAAGGGCTTTCCTAGCCACGTCGAGACTTCGAATAGGTTCCTCAACCTCGATCTAAGGACCGACCCCCAAACCAGAGCCTCTCCGGAGCCCGAAGCGTCTTGACTGTACTGTGAGACTTCGAGATGTCCCAGAGGTCCACAGGGGCCAGCAACACCTATAACAAGGACTGAACCCTTCAATGCTTCCTGACCCTCCTCGTCTTCCTCCCGCTCCTCACCCCCCGCTCCCCCCAGCTACGTCGGGCCCGGAGCCATGGGAGTGACGAACGCATCGACACAGTAGATGATTCCAAATCCGCGACCCCGCACTCTGGCGGAGTTGGTCCGACGGGGTCCGATGAGGCCCCCTGGATGTCGTCACAGGTAACCAGGGGTCCCTGGGGCCTCCAGAGAAGGACAATGAGAGAGGAAGAGGGAAGCAGGACGAGGATGAGGAGGGGGAGGAGGATAATCATGGTGACGACGGCGGAGTGCTGAACTGGAGCCTGCCGAAGCTGTGACGAGAACTCCGATGGGTGGGTGAACATGGTCGCAGTGTCTCCTCTCTTCCTCCCCTGGCGCATCGAGGCGGCCCCTCCCGAGACCGGCACGCATCCAGGCTCCAGAGCCTGGATCTGAGAGGGGCAGCCTTGGGGTAGCAGCCTGCAGCTCTTGGTATGAGGCAGTTTTTATACATAGGATTTGCTTTAATATGGGAGTTGTAATACATGATAAATTAGGAATACATGTATGCATGAACTCATCCTTGCTTTTAGTGCTGAATCACTGAATTGTTACTGAATGATCCGCACGCGGAGCAGGTATTAAAAACGGCACTGTAGCAGCTCTTGGTACAGTTAAAAACCCAATACGGACGCGCGGTGGGGACGCAAGACCCTTGGAAATCGAAGTTGAGATTTTGGGGGCGGCGGACGACGAAAACCTCAAGGACGCAAGAGCAAGGCAGAGCAAGGACGCAAGGGCACCCCGAGCAAAGTCGCGCGTCCTTATTGGAGTTTTTGACTGTAGGTCCTCGGCGGTCTGGGCTCGAGAACGCCTCGTGCGTTTTTGCGCTGCTAGCCGTGTTAGGGGGGGGCGCCCGGAGACCCGCGAGGCCACCGGCAGGGAGGTGCTCGGGAGGAGGAGGCGGCGTGGGAAGGACGCAGGGCTCGGCGATTTCGAAACAGGACAAGACAAGGAGGAGGAGGAGGAGGAGGAGGAGGAGGAAATGAGGAACAAAGCAAGTGAGGAAGTGAGGAGGAGGAGGAGGAGGAGGAGGAGGAGGAGGAGGAGGAGGAGGAGGAGGAGGGAGGGGAGGAGGAGGAGGCGGTGGTGGTGGTGGAGCCGTTGGGGGGCATGAGTCGATGTCTGACAGCACATCAAGCCCCTAGGAAAGATCGAGCTACTGCAACTGTGGGTACCGTCACATCCGCCGCCCGCGGGAGCCGCGCCAGCTGTTGCTGGAAGCGGCCCCGCTCCAGCAGGGGCTCCCCATTGCAGCCTCGGTACCCCACCGATGCAAGCACTGTCTGGGGCCAGACCTCTCGCCCAAACCCCAAACTCTGCAAGCACTGATGGAGGAAAAACGGGGGAGCGAGCGAGCTAACCTCAGTGGGCCACGCTCGCTCGCTTCACTCTGCGAGCCATTCCATTCCCTCGCAACCTGGCCAACGCCAGGCACGGCGACGAAAAAAAAGACGGCCGAAAAAAATCAAGATTTTTAAATCTCCTCCTCCTCCTCGGCCCGCGCGCCGCGCGCGGCTCCCAGTGGAACTCGCTGCACAGCGCGCCGTTGATGTCGAGCGGGAGGGGAGGGGAAGGGGGAGGGAAGGGGCTCTCAGGGGGGAGCAGGGGGAAGAGGGAGAGCTAGACACGCATGCACACATACATGATGCTACTGCCCCGCGCTGCCCCTCACCTCGCTCGCACCATCCCCATCAGGATCAGGAACATAGCTATGCTCGATGACGCTGGGACTCTTGGTATCGAAATTCTCAAGGAGCTGCATAATTATGTCATTCTGGTGCTTTATATACTCGATCTGGGACGAGAGATTGCGCACAAGGATGACCCGCTCCCGCTCATCTTCAGAGTCCTCAAACCTCAAGTTGCGCAACAGGCCATACTGGGCTTCGCTCGATTCAAGGCTTGCCGTCAAACGAGAGAATTCACCGATCATGATGGACTGGTGTCGCTTGAAGCGCTGAGCTGCGGTGACATGGGTCAGCTTGGCCGTCTGTAGGTGAGCGTCCGCCTCAACACCACGGGCAACTGTCGTAGGACGAGGCCTCGGTGCTGCTTTCGGGGTCGGGGCTGATGCTGAGGATCCACTGGCCATGGGGCTGGACGTGCTGGTGCCTTGCGCTCTCAAGAAAGGCTCGAGGAAAAGGCTAGGGGCGATCTCCTTCCCCGAAATGTTCTGGACATCGCTTCCCTCAGGGCGCCCCCCGAACAGATCGGGGCATTCCCCTCATATAGAATGACAGCTCCCTCGAGTAGTCATATCAGTGTAGGAGATGGGGCACGCACTCATGATGAGGACCCCGTAAAAACTTATTTAGACCCAGACCCACTTCCCTGAACGAGCTTGGCTGTGGTACTGGCCATTCGGGCACGAACGAATTCGACTGCTTGCACGATGTGTCGCACACGCTCAGAGCCCCCATCAAGTAACCGATACATATTGGTCAACTTCTGTGGGTCCCGCGCTAGTATCTCAGCTTGTGCAATTACTGCCTCTGTAAATTGCGGAGCTGCCTCTCGACTGCGCGCTCGAGCTCCGTGCGAGGTCCTGGGCCCACTGGCCTGAGACCCTGATGCTTGGTCAGAGCTAGGTTGAACGCTGACTGCAGCGCGCGCATGTCGATCGTGAACGGGACTGAGGGGACCTCCTGGCCCTGTTTGGTGGCGAGCTGGAGGGTCGTGCGAAGGTCTGGCTGCAAGTTCATGCTGTACTGGAGTTTCACCTTCCGCGCTGCGTCCTCGACCCCGTCTGGCTTGTAGGTCTCTTTCAGGCGGAACACTCGGAATATTTCGTCGGTGATTTGCATGCCGTGCTCGCTGCCCATGAGCTGCATCAATTATCCTAGTACTTGCTTTGCTGGTCCTTCGTACTGGTCTGCCTCGTTCAGGCTGTCGTGAGCGCTCTGTACGAACCCTGCGGCGACGTGGGTGTGGGGGGGGCCCTGGTTGTGTCCTTTGCCGATCGAGCGCACGGTTTCGTGATGCGCCAAGCCGGCTTCCAACCCCGCCTGAACCGGCGGCACCAGGTAAGGCAGGATCCAGAACTCGAAAACGGTGTTCGACATCTCTCTCTGGTCGGCGGCTGTCTTCAAGGCCAGTTTCTGTAGTGAAACGACTGCTGATTGAAGCTCGGGGGCTGCGGCCACGTTGTGCTGCTTTGCTGACTTGGCCCCCCTGCCGCCTGCTCCCGTTGCTGCTTGCCCTCCACCCGACGCCGCCGCCGCCGAGGCTGCTGCCCCTCCCGACGCTGCTGCCTCCCCGCCCAGCGCCCTCTTCGCCCTCCAGCTCATCATGTTGCCTTGTGTGTAGTACACCTACAGGCCCTGGGTGATGGAGGGTAACGTGTGTCTGGAAGTCGTCGAAGTCTTTCGCTTGATACTCACAAATGCTGCATGACAGATCTGCTGGCTCGATCACAGGGTGAACCCACCTAGAATGATCAACATGGCAAACTCCGTGCTTCGTCGCTGCTCGTACTACGTGGTCTGTCGCTATCTTACGAGTCGAGAAAGTAGACCTACACCACGGGCACTGGTTGCTTACGACTAGCTTGTGCAGTAGTGGTTCTAGACGATGGTATTCACGCTTATGTGCTGCGAGTGCTGCGTGCGATCGAAAACGACACCCACATACCTCCTCCTCACCCGTCTCCTTGTTCAGTCCCCTGAAGTCGCACCAAAACGGTTTCTCAACCTCCTCTGGCTCCCTCATGTCTGCTTCTGGCTCCTCTGGTCTGCTCTGTGCCCATTTTCTAGTTGCGCTATTCATGATGCTCGGGTCTGTCCTGATCCACATGCCGTGTTCCTCTGTGCTGGGGTCGAACACGCAAATGTCGTTCGCGCGCGCGTGCCACCATGCATGTGTGTCAGGATCCGTGCTCGCAAGGTAATCCATGTCTGAGACGAACTGCTTTGCCCACGGTGTACTCTTGGCCCAAATACGCTTGCGTGGCGATAGTCTGGCCGCTCCCATTTCTACATCACTCTTCGAGGTACCAAACACTGCCGCGATAACTGCTTCATGGTCCTGGGGATAGAGGGCCCACCTGCGATAAGCATGTAACCTTCTAACCTTCAGCGTGTCCGCAGTACGTTCAATGCGCCATTCCTTAAATACCGCATTCATGCTACCTGCGCGCCTCCTCCCCTTCTCGCCCACCGTGCAGCGCTTACCTCTGGAAAGATATCTGAGCAGCTTGCACAACACAACACCAATCGCGTCGGTGTGTTTCTTGGGGATGATGAAACTGCTTAAACCACTAAGCGCAGCCCCCATCACAAACGCGATAAACATGCTCCTCTTAATACCCTTCGATGTCTTAGATGACCAAAACGGTGAACATTGCCTCCACGCTGCCCTAGCTGCTGTGATACGCCTCTTGATCTCACTTCCGATACCCTGGTCGCTCGGGATATATGGTCCAAGAACCCTCATTTCGCGCAAGGCCTCCCCGTTCAACCCACTATCTTGTTTCCTCAGCGTTCTCGTGCTATGATAAGAACGAGTACCTCTAAGTACTAGCAAGTGGTTGGTCTTTGTCGGGTTCAGAAGCCAGTGCCCTATCTGCAATGAGGACTCCAATCTATGAGTAACCTGGTTCATCTGTCCTGCGATCTCCTCGGGTAAGGCACCTATAGGCAGCATGGTAATCTTCGTGATGTCATCCACAAACGTGCTAATCGAAAGGTCTAACATCTTCATGCTAATAGGATGCAATGTATCATTAATGCACTGGCCCTCTTGCTCGCGCTCGCCGTCCAGCCAATCCGAGACCACTGGGTTGTAGACGTCGTTAAAGTCTCGTGGCGCTGAGGTGAAGCCCATCTGGGCCCCATGCTGGCTCATCATGTCAATGCTCATGTCTGAGGCCTGCAAGGACAGTGCGGTGTGTTCGACTGCGCCAAGTGCATAAGATACGTCGTGCTCCGCTGCCGTCTGCCACGCATGCTCTCTAAGTAACTCACGATCTGTAGAGGCAAATGCGTTCGTGCAATCGAAGTTGCCCATGATAAGGGAGCGGCCTGCTTTTTCACAACGCCATTTGGTAGCCAGTAAAACTACGATGGCATTGTCTCGAGATCTGTTC